AATCTTTAAAAAATAAATAAAAAATAAAAAATGTGAAAGAAATCCCTTTGATTGATTGTTTAATGGAGAACCCAGAGCAATAAATTGACAGAGACCACCCACAGTAGGTTTCAGTAATGTTAGGGTAGTATTCCCAACAATTTCCCAACAGATATTATCTTGGGGATTCAGGAAAAAAAATCAGAAATGTCAGGAATTTTCATAAATTCCTCAAATCGTAAGTTATTCTTTAGTATTTTTAAAATTTATTATACTCTTTACTTGTTATTATGGATTTCTCAAAGTTGTTCAGTACATGAGAGATATTAAGCTTAGTAAGATTTACAAACTCTACAGGCTATGGCAAATATTCAAACCCCTATAAAGTGCCAGCCAACATCACATGACATTTGTAACACTCAAGTAATGTAACATTTGGGACTCCTGGTGAGAGGTTAACTAGGTTAACAGCACTTGTCAGAATCATATGTTGAAATTGCCAATTTAAGAACATATTTTGCTCCCCAAACTTCTTATTCCTCGGAAGGCCATAAGATTTTTATGAAGTACACTATGCATAAAACTTAACATGTATTTTTTTTGCAAGAATTCCTTACCAGTAGAAGCGAATAGGTCACACACACATTTAATCATGGCTATTGCTATATGCATGACCAACTGATTAGACTGTGGCTTTTTTTTTTTTTTTTCTGCTCACTCCTGTCCTGGTTTCCGAAAATATACCCTTAACCTTGGACTCTGTCAGTGTTTCCTGTTCCTGCATTCCACTGGATGTCAGTGGGTTCTTTCAAACCAGTAACATCTCTATGTTACTTGCAAAGCTTTAATGCTTGCAGGAGAATTATAGACCTCTTTCTTGTCTTCCCAAATTTTTCAACAGATTTTTCTTGAAACTTAAAATTTACAAAAATGCAGAACTTTCCCAAGCACTGCTGGGAAGGAATTCTTATAGGGAACACTAACCAAAACGTGAAGTAGGCCCAATGGGAAAGCCTACCAGCTATCTGGAAGCGGACATAGTGAGCTTGGTGAGGCGAGATTAACTAGGACTTGGAGGCTGCTACCAGCCCCAGGACAAAGCACCTGTAAAAATAGGAAAGCACAACCCACCTTCTCCAATTTTGTCTCAGTTATGAAATGTATTAGAACCAGAAGCCACCAGTCTCATTTAGTAGCTAATAATGAGCCTTTAAAGAATGGGAAGGAGATTGACAAGGTGCTTGGAAAAGATAAGTCCTGACCTAGCCATCATGACTTGTTAGAGAAAGAAGGAAAATAAACTATACCCGTTTCTTAACTTGTCATAAAGTTGACTGCTTGCCTAGGTCTCTTTGCTAAGGAGGTTATATATAGTATAATACATTTAATCTCAAAGATAATGCCCCTCCCCCCAATCTATCCAAAGAGTACTTTGTAAAATCAAGGACAGCCTCATATATACTTATATAAACAGAGTACAGTGATCAAAATCAGGAAAATAACATTGATACATTACTGTTGTCTGATTAATAAACTTTATTTAAATTTTTCATCAGTCATCTACTGCTGTTCTTTATAACCAAAGGAAAACTAATTTCCCCTCAGGCCCAGATTCCTGTCCAGGGCCACATGTTACATATAGTTTTCAAGACTCTTTGTCTCCTTTAGTCTGGGGAAGTTTCTCCGTCTTTCTTTGTCTTTCATAACTTTGACACTTTGAAGCACACAGACCATTTATTTTGGAGATTTACTTGGGCTTAATTGTTTTCTCAAAATTGTAGATTCAGGTTCTATACTGGGGGCAAGAACCCCATTGGAAATGATGTTATCTTCTGTGTGCATCTTATCAGAAGACATGTGACACTCATTTGTCCTGTAACTGGTGATATTAGCATTGATTGCTCGGCTAAGATGGTGTCTGTCAGATTTCTCGACCATAAAACTACAGTTTTCTCTTTGTAGTTAACAAATATCTTCTGGAGGGTTACTTTGATACTATATATGTATTCTGTTTCTCATCACCCATTAATTTTTACATCCATTTAAGATTCTTACCTGAAACAATTTTAACTATAGGTTGTCAAATAATTTTCTAATTCCAGATTTCTTCCTACATTTTTTAACTGGCAGTCTACTTTAAGGAAGAGCTTTCCCTTCTCCCTATACAATCATTCATCTATCTGTCCATCTATTCCTTCATGGGTATGAACTCATGGATTCTTATTTTATTCTATGACTTTTAATCTATACAATAAAAGCATTATTTATTTTAATGCTCAAATTTCCCTAGATTTGGCCAGTGAGAACCCCTTGGATCTGGCTGCTACAAATTGTGACATCACTCTTGGAGCATTTCCTTATTTTCTAGCACAGAAAAATGTCTAAGACCCCAACCCTAAAATCAGCCATTTCTCCAAGGAGCCCTAATTCATTTACTGGAAAATATTCAGAAACCAAGATCTGCATACTGGATTCTGAGCATGCTCAGAATGAATGAAAATACAGAAATGTAAATAGGTTAATTTGTTTATGTTTGCACTCCATTTTGGGTTTCCCTTTATCCTTTTGGGGTTTGTATATTTATGTTTTGAACCTAACATGAAACATAACATGATTTTAAAAGTCTAAATTACAGAAAAATGTATATTTTGAGAAATGTCACTCTCCCCAATCCATTCTATCCTGTTTTAATCCTCAATCATTTCCATCTTATTTCCAACCAGTACTACCCATAAGTAACTGATCTCACTAGTTTCTGGTCTATTCTTATGTTTCATTTTGCATAAATGAACAGATATATGTATATTTTCCCTTTATCTCTTACCTGAAAAGTAAAAACTATAAATATGATTTTCCTTTTTTTCCCACACTGGAAATCATTCCATAGCAGTTCAAAGAAATGTTCCTATTTCTTTTCCAGAGCTGCATAGTACTCCATCACATGGGTGTATTCAACCACTCGCCAATGTCTGAACATTATAGTTCATTTCCAACATTTTACAATTAAATTCAATACAGCAAATAATTCATTTACACATAAGTATTTTCTTATTCTTTGGAGGTGTGAATTTCTCAAAGTAGAATTGCACCAGAAAGAAAATGTGTGTATAGTTTTTTTTAAGATTTATGTATTTATTTGAGAGAGAGAACACACACATGTGCATGAGTGGGGTGCAGGGGTAAAAAGAAAGAAAGAGAATCTCAAGCAGATTCCCTACTGAGAGTGGAGCCTGACCTGATGCTTGATCTCAGCATCCTGAGATCATGACCTGAGCAGAAATCAAGAGTCAAACACTAAACCGACTGAGCCACCCAGGTACACCTATAGTATTGTTAAATACTGCCAAATATCCCTCCAAAATGACTGTACCAGTTTGCATCCCTATCATCAAAATATGAGATTACCTGTTTCCCACAACCTTGCTAACAGAATGTGCTATCATACTCTTTAATTTTCACATATTTAAGTGAAAATTTATCTCAGTATCATTTTAATTTGCATTTTTCTGAGTGAGATTAAATATCTTTTCATGTGTTTAAGGATATTGCGTATTTTTTTACCCATCTTTCTATTGGGTACAAGCTTTTAAAAAAAGAAAGCTTTGCTATAAATTGCATTTTCCCTTCAATTTGCTATGAAGAAACTAGAAGTTATACATTTGCTTACCATTTATCCCATTCCTTAATTTTTTCATCATAAGACCTTACCTATGATAATGTTTTAGTTCTTGATATGGATTTGGTCACTGTGAAGGTTTTATCAAGCTCTACACTTGTGAATTATGCACTTTTAAAAAATTAGCTGATTTAATTCTGTACTAAATTATCAGTGTCTTGTCTGCCTAATGCCTAAAGGAAGCCTAATCATTCCCAGAATCATACCCCAGTAGCACTGACATAAAACTAAAAAGAAAAGGTGACCGTCTTAAGGAAGGGGCCAGTTTGCACATCCTTGAAAGGTGAGCCCACAAAACATACACATATAACATCCTACCTCCTCTCCTATCATGGTGCCCAACCACAGGGACCTTACCAAAATATGCATCCCAAGACATAACTTCCCAACTTACCAACTAGGGGAAAAGGACTTACCCAGCAGATAGCAGTAAGGACTCTTGGTTTTAAGTTTGTGCCTGCAATTCCTTCTTGGTGTCCCAGTAAGTGATGCCCCCCTGTTTCAAGTCTCAATTTCTCCATAATATGCAGGGAGAATAGAAGGAATAGGTAGTAAAGTCTATTAAGTGTTTTAAGCTCCTTAAAGACTCAGATGGACTTGGACTTTTCTACCATTCTCTATGCACTGTGCAGAGCTGGGATTAGTGGAGACACGTTCTCTCCTCCCCCTCAGCCTTCAGAATCTCTTTGGTATGGGAGAGGTTGAGTAATCCAAATAAAACTGCTGTGGGGGGATGCTGGAGGAATGTTTAAAGATTGCTTGTCTATTTACTGCATCTTGCAGGACACTTCAGGAAAGGGGAACAGCAGGGGCCACACACCTTTAGAGAGCTGGGGCCACCGGAATCATTGTCATGCTGCCAGCCTGAGGATGACCCAGCGTCTCCCATGGAGCAGCCCCCAGGATGTCTGGGGAGTCTCTGAGCAGATGGGCTGGGGGAGGATGTGTGGGGCAGATGGCAATAGTAGTTGTCAGGCATGAAGACTAAGTAGTGTTGGCAGAAGTCAACGACAGACTTCCACCCTCCTAATTCTGTCCCCACATAGCAGCCAGATGATGGTGCTTATTTCGAAGAGTTTCCAATAATGGCATTTGATATATAGCATGACTTTCCAAGGGAAGCTGAGGGGAGAGTTTCCTCACCCATCTCCAGCCTGGACATTTTGACACATGCATGGACCTTACCTCCCCACAGTCTGTGTGTTGCAAGCCTAAGTCACAGTAAACATACACACCTACTTTCCTGTTCTCACCCTCTCCCATTTTGAGCAGCATTAGGAGTAGAAGTCATTTCAGGGGCAAGAACTGGTATCCCAAATCAAGGCTCTCTGAGGATCACCGGATGTTAGTTTGACCCCCAGTTTCGCATGGTATACTGTATTGTCCACGCTTGTGTGGTGCAGTTCTGAAGTACAAGCACATAGATGCCCGAAGTGTCTTTCTTCATCTCCAGACATCGCTTGGTGGCTCTGTTCATGACAGCTCTTCCCTGGATGGGAGAAGAGACAGAGTCAAGGTATTGAAATGCCCTCATCATCCTTGCTCCTGTTCTTCCTGCTGTGGTCAGTGACATGCTTGAAGGGTCCCTCAATCTTCTGCCAGTCATCCAGAGAAGAAATGGAGCAAAGGGTAGAGTTAGACCACCTGCTGTTTTCTTCACTAGTACCATGACAGACTAACCATAGACCTAGGAGTAAGCAAGGCAGTGCTGGGTTTCTGTTATCGTCCACCTCTCATCAGGGAGTGTGACTGTCTAGACATGACAGATCTTGGAGAGCCATGGTCCTTCTCTACTTGGCCTTCCTTTCCACATCTACACCCCTAAGCCCATGAAATCTATCAGGATTCTCCCTCCGTCTTCAGTAAGGCTCAGTGGCCAGAGGAGCAGAAGCTACATTCAGGCACCTCAGCCTGTTTTTTCTACCACTGTTGATTGGGGTGGGGGATGGAGAGAAGGGCAGTTCCTACCTATTCTGTCCTGGGGTCTTCACCACGGTTACTAGCAGAAACACTATGGGCTTAGGAGCCAAAAAGTCTGGGCTAAGTCTCTACTCCACCACATACAACAGAGGGCCCTAGGAAAATTACTTAGCCTAAGTCTCAATTTCCTCATCTATAAAATGGGTTTATAGTTAATATTGGGGTTAAAATTAATATTAATTAAATAAAATTAATTGGTTGATATTTTTTGAGCCTCTTGTGCCTGACATGAGAGATGTGCAATAGATTAGTACATCTCTGCCTCCTCCCATTCTAATGGGGGAAGGAGAGGAAGGGTCATCCTTCTCTTTGTTCTTTTTTTTTTCTTCTCTTTGTTCTTATGTTTCACCTAGACCTTATGGCTCAACAACTGTCATCATACCATCTGTGCTGGTGCTGTCCTGGTCTCCTAACCCTCCCATTCCCTACACCCCTCTCCACCACATTGCAGGAACCTCTCACAGAATCTGTTTCAGTGCCTCCACGAAGTTGTTCTCCCTTTATCCCCCCTGCCCTCTGCTGTCATCCTGAGTTAACAGCCTTCCTTTAAATGTTTAATGAGAGACCCTGATCTCACAGTCCCACTTTGGAACTTATACTACCAAGTTTTTCAACACCAAGCAGGGCTGCAGCAGTATGTCCAAAACCCTGCCTCCTCTGATTTCTTTCCATTACAAAATGCACTCCCCACCCCCACGGACACTGCTCCCTTAAACTTGCTGCCCTGGCCACACTGGATTCCCCCAGGTACACCTCCCCAGTGTCGGCAGTCACACAGGCTCTCCTGCTTCTTGAACTCCTCCTCTGACCTCCACTTCTCCTCTCTGTGGGTTCTGCTTGTAGTCCGTAGGGTGCTCCTAGAGAGGGTCCACCAACCAAGCAGGCCTGGCCACAAATGTGCCTACAGCAATCCGGCTTAAAATGTGGCTTACTCCTTAGGGTTACGCTTCCAGATCTCCTCAGCACTCTTTATCCCTTGTCCCCACCCCTTGATGTTCACTTTCACTAAATGCCCCCCCCCCTTTTTTTTTCACTTTGTTGAGCCTATCACACCGCCAGCCAGACTAGCCCCTCCCCCAAGTGCCTGGAGTGACCCTCTGGACACTGTTTGTGGGTGGTCTCAAAGGAGCTGCCCTGCCTCTGTCTCTGCTCCTAGCAGCCCCTGTGCTCTGAAGTGGATGCCAGAGGAAACACTTCCTGTTTAACATTAGTCTTTCATTTCTCCCTCTGGGCATATTCTTTTTCTACTGACTTTTTTTTCCCCAGTATTAGAGGAGAAAAAAACCCTACCAAAATTCAGTGCTTTCCTCCCTTTCAGGATCAGACTTCCCAAGCAATGAGGTGATAACAACAGTGGATAAGATTCTGTGTTTGAATCTGGACATTTAATCTGTGTGACCTTGGTTATAGTATTTGACTTCTCTGTGGTTTAGTAACTTCATAAGTAAAGTAGAGCTAATGATAATATTTCTCTTATAAGATATAAGTAAGGATTAAATTAGATAATGCCTGGTACATTATATGTACTCAATAAATCTTGGCTATTTTAATGTATTGTGTTTTTTTAGATAAAGTCAGTGACTTATTTTTTTTCTATTTTCTTTTCACTTCCATGTGACATGTCCTTTGAAAGTATTCTTTAAGCCTTCTTCAGACTATTCTCTAGTTTCTTTTACATTGTGTTCATCTGGATCTTATACATTTTTGGTTTGGTTTTTATTTGGGGAGTGTTGCCCTTCAGTTTTTAAGAAATTTTTGGTTTTGTTTATTTTCCACTTTAATGGAAGGAGTATGTGCTCCTTCTTTTATTTTATTTTTTAAATTTATCTATTTTATTTTTTTAATTTTATTTTATTTTTTCAGTGTTCCAAGATTCATTGTTGATGAACCACACCCAGTGCTCCATACAATAAGTGCCCTCCTTAATACCCACCACCAGGCTCACCTAACCCCCCCTCCCCTCCCTTCCAACACCTTCAGTTTGTTTCTCAGAGTCCACAGTCTCTCATGGTTCATCTCCCTCTCTGATTTCAATTGGGGGTGTTCTTTCTTTTAATTTGGAAAACATATTTCAAAAATTAGAAGCACTTGCAATAGGATAACATTATATATATAGTTTGTATATCCTGTTTTTTAAGTTTAATACCATGGTTTAATATCTCATGTGCATTTTCCAGTTAATATTTGAAAACATACTTTTTGAGGATATAATTTGAATGACTATGTCATATTCAGTTCAATATTCAGGGGATGCACAGAAATCTCCCTTACTGTTGGGCATTTAATTTTTCCTAATATTTTGCTATGATAAATATAAGATATTTTCTATATTAATTTTGACTCACATTTTATATTATTCTTTAAATATTGTCTTAAAAGAAAATGAGAAGACTATACTTTCAGGGATCATTTCTATAGTTTGTTAAAAGAAAATGAGCACCATAAAAGGGTCATAATTAATTTGGGAGTTCTGATTAGTGTCATTAGTGTTCATACAGAAAGCTAAACTGCCTTCTGTACCTGTGCCCACTAGCATGACAGCATCCCCACAGGTATCTCTTCCTTTTTATTTCTTGAACACTGACTGTGTCTGGTCTCCTCATTCTCACTGCCTCTCCCAGAGCTCGTCTTTGTGTCACTCCCTGCAGAAGACTTCTGCATGATGACCTCTACCCCAACTCTCCATTATTTCAGCTACCCCACTACTCGCAACTCTGCTCCTCATTTCCAAGTCCAGATGTTCAAACTGGGTCCCTTCTCAGTCACTAATGTCATCTCTCTTGTGGCTTTCAGAAGTCATACCTCCTCTGGTTGACTCAAACCCTGAATCATGGAATTGGAAGACAAAAGCATTATCTAATCTTATCTCCCTCTCAATTCTGAAAAGTATTTTTGGTAGCTTTTTAGCAGATGAATGTGTAAGTCGTGCCTACAACTTTCTTACCTGAAAGAACTGTGATCCCAAGATAAGGTGGATAGGAACGGCTAATACAGAGTGAATTGACTCATGAGCTACATGATCCCCTCTCCCCCTTCAACTTCTGGACTTCTTGACACAGTGACCTGAAAAGGGACCTGGGTTGGACATTGGAGAAGTGGGCAAAATTCCCCTGCATGTCCTGCAGCTCCAGACCTCACACCCAGCCAGAAGCTATATTCTGTCAGCAACTTCCCCCAGCTGAGAAAGTGATCTTTCCAAAATTCTCTTGGAAAGGCAAACCTGAAAATGTTTGGGATGTTATAATTGTTTCTTTAACACAACTACTATGTTTAATTCCCGGGAGAGTTAGGATCAAGTAAAGATGTTAAAGGAATCAAACAAATAGTATTTGTTAAAGATTCTGAGTAGAGTTACTATTTTTAAGTACCTGCTAAGTTTTAAAAACATTGTCTTACAGATGAACCTTGTGATAACAATTTTAAAATGTGTAATTGAATAAAGTTTGTGAAATCTTACCAAATTGCAAACACTTTTGAAACATATAATAGAATTTAAGAATCATTAATTTAAAATCAGATAATTGACATTCTTAAGAAAGAAAATTTAATGTATTAAATTTATAAATACAGTATGTAATGTTTAAGGCGATTGAATAAATTGTAAAGTCCCCTTTAAAGTTGCTAAGAGAGTAGATTTTAAAAGTTCTCATCACAAGGAAAAAATGTTTTTGTAACTATGTGTGGTGGTGGATGTTAACTAGACTTATTGTGATGATCATTTTGCAATATATGCATACATTAGGTATATTATGCTATATGCTTGAAACTAATATAATGTCACTTATATAAATAAATTAATTCACTATTGCAAATAACTTTATTCTCATAAATTTGAAGAGATGGACCAATTCCTCAAAAACCATAAACCAAAATTCAATCAACATGAAATGAATGATCTGAATAACCCTGAATCATTAAAAAAATTTTCAGTTTGAGCTCCAAGAAGATGGCCTGCCAGGCCAGCACATCCCCTGTGCACACAGGCCTAGAAAGCTGTCAGGTAGTGCTGAATGCAGGAAGTGTGCAAGGAGCAAAGTGTCCATGCTTGGGTGTTCCAAAGCAGAAACCAGGCTCACTGAACTTGGCTTCAAGCTCAGGGGATTGTGCTAATAATTTTGAGTAGAGGCAGGAACTTGTGGGGCACACACAAGACCAAAGGGTTTTAAAATATTTTAATTCATCATTTTTAAAGGCCCTGGAAAAGAAACCTCCAGGCCCATATGTTTCCACTGAAGAATTATACCAAGCACTTAAAGAAGGATTAGCACTGATTTAAGACAATCTCTTCCAAAAAATCTCTTCCAGAAATGCCTCTTTCAGAAACTGATCTATTCTAAATTTTTGTCAACAGAACAAATTTTATCAATTAGAAAGAGGAAACACCTCCTAACTCATTTTAAGAGGCCAGTATTACCTTGATACTAAAACCAAAGACAGTACCAAAAAGAAAAAAAAGAAAAGGAAAAAGCTGCAGGTCATTATGTCTAATGAACTTAGACACAAAAATCTTCAACAACATACAAGCAAACCAAATATAATAAAGTATGAAAAGAAGTGTACACCATGAGAAAGTGTGATTTATTCCTGGCACATAAGGCTGTTTCAACACTAGAAAATTAATCAGTGTAATCCATCATATCAACAAACTAAAGAAGAAAAAAACATGATTGTATCAATTGACAATGGAAAAGCATTTGACAAAATCCAACTCACATTCACAATAAAAATATTTTTTAGCAAGTTAGAAATTCAGATAAATTATATCAATTTGATAAGGAGGATCTACAAAAAATCTACTGCTAATGTATAAGCAAAAATGGAAGACTCAATGCTTTCCCCCTGCATTTGGAAACAAAGTAAGGATATTCATTCTCATCACTCTTACTCAACATAGTACTTGAAATTCTAGCTAATGTAATATGGCAAGAAAAATAAGTAAAAGTCATGCAGATTGGATATGAAAAAAAAAGTGATTGTTTAAACCTGATAGGTTTTTTTTTTAAAGATTTTATTTATTTATTTGACAGACAGAGATCACAAGTAGGCAGAGAAGCAGGCAGAGAGAGAGGAGGAAGCAGAGAGCCCGATGCGGGGCTCGATCCCAGGACCCTGGGATCATGACCTGAGCCGAAAGCAGAGGCCTTAACCCACTGAGCCACCCAGGCGCCCCTAACCCTGATAGGTTTAAATAAAATATTAAGATTTCTAAGCTGAATGTAAAAGCTTAAACAAAAATGATAGGTCTTTAATTAGAACTTAAATAAATTTATATTAATTTTTAAAACTAAGGTAAACCTGTGATAGTATTTTCTGCACAAAAAAAAAAAAGATACCACTAAGGATATTGAAAACTCACATTTGGCACACTCAGCCTGCCTATCAAACATGCTCTGCTTGGTGACTGCCATTGACAGAAAACTCACCATCTCGCTAGGCAGCCCATTATTCTGTAGAATAGCTTAAGCCGTCAGGCTATGAGAAAGCCTTCCCCTGCCCTTACATTAAGTTGAACTCTGCCTCCTTGATCTAAAGTCACTGGTCTCAATTCTGCCCTCCTGTAGACACTGAACAAATCTAATCCCTCTTCCTCATGAAATCAGCATCATCTTTTCTCTAGGCTCATGTCTCTAAGCTAGTACCTCCAGACTTGCCAATCTTTCATTTGTTCTGCAATTATTTATTGAGTGTGTGCCATGCTCTAGGCATTTTGCTAGATGCCAGAGAGAAAACAACAAAACCCAGGCCCTGTCCTCCACCTCACAGTCTAGTGATGAAAAGATGCAAGTGAGGAGATACTTAGAAGTAATCATGAGATAAAATCTGTAGGAAGGGCCCTGAGAGCACAAATCACTCATCCTCATCCTCTGGATTCACAGATGGCTTCTCAAAGAAGACAGTGTCTAAAGCCAGAGGAACATTTTGTAGTTGGCCCAGTAAAGAGGTGGGAGGAGAGGGAGCAATACGTACACAAAAGCCTAAGATAAGAGGGAGCATAGCCTTTTAGAGAATTACATGTAGGTCCATGTAGAGCAGGAAGTGAAGAGCAGAAACACAACTTACCACCTTCCTCCTTCTCACTGATATTGCCTAATTCAAAAAGACTTAATCTAGGATCCAAAACCCCTCTGAAATTGTAAGCAAAATTGTACACATAAGTGCATATATATGTTCTCCTGGAAAGAAGATTTTCAAAAAGAGTTGTTAGCTTTAAGTTAGGAGTAAAAGAGTTAGACTGATCTGTGTCTATCAAAATGTAGCCCCTGAACCTAACACAATACAAGAATGTTCAGAGATGCCATCACAGACAGAGCATTGCCTCCCTTCATCAGGACATCACGTCTCCGCCAACGTGGATAAGGCAGCCCCATCCCACAGCAAATTCACACATAGGCTATAGTCAGTCAAGTCCCTTATGTCATTGTCTTGTGAATTCTGCCAGATTCCTTCCACCCTGTTCTTAGTCAATTGATACTGAAATTAAAGTCAGGCCTTTACACTAGTCCCTATCAATTTCAGCCCAGGGCTCCAGATTCTCTGATTATCATTAATAATAAAACTAATCAAAACCACAATGAGATACCACCTCACACCAGTGAGAATGGCTAAAATTAACAAGTCAGGAAATGACAGATGCTGGCAAGGATGCGGAGAAAGGGGAACCCTCCTACACTGTTGGTGGGAATATAAGCTGGCACAACCACTCTGGAAAACAGCATGGAGATTCCTCAAAAAGTTGAAAATAGAGCTACCCTATGACCCAGCAGTCGCACTACTGGGTATTAACCCTAAAGAGACAAATATAGTGATCCGAAGGGGCATGTGCACCCGAATGTTTATAGCAGCAATGTCCACAATAGCCAAAACCAGGAAAGAACCTAGGTGTCCATCAACAGACGAATGGATAAAGAAGAGGTGGTATATATATACCATGGAATACTATGCAGCCACCAAAAGAAATGAAATCTTGCCATTTGTGATGGCGTGGCTGGAACTAGAGGGTATTATGCTTAGCGAAATAAGTCAATCGGAAAAAGACAACTATCATATGATCTCCCTGATATGAGTGGAGATGCAACGGGGTGGGGTTGGGGGTAGGAAAAGAATTAATGAAACAAGGTGGGATCGGGAGGGAGACAAACCATAAGAGACTCTTTTTTTTTTCTATATTTTATTTATTTATTTGACAGACAGAGATCACAAGTAGGCAGAGAGGCAGGCAGAGAGAGAGGAGGAAGCAGCCTCTCCACAGAGCAGAGAGCCCGATCCCAGGACCCTGGGATCATGACCTGAGCTGAAGGCAGAGGCTTAACCCACTGAGCCACCCAGGTGCCCCACCATAAGACACTCTTAATCTCACAAAACAAACTGAAGGTTGCCGGGGCGGGGGGGTAGGGAGAGGGTGGTGGGGTTAGGGACATTGTGGAGGGTGTGTGCTATGGTGAGTGCTGTGAAGTGTGTAAACCTGGCGATTCACAGACCTGTACCCCTGGGGCTAATAATACATAATATGTTTATTTAAAAAAACTAATCATAATGGCTAATATTTATTAAATACTTTCTATGTGCAGGCACCATGCTAAATTCTGTACACACACTATCTCATTTAATCCTCCTAACAGGCTCGTAAAGTAGATATTCTGATCTTCATTTTATAAATGAGGAAACCAAGTATCACAGAGGGTAAGAAATTTGCTAATGGTGACTGAACTAGGACTGAACCCAAACTCTTCACTGTTAAGCTAACCAGATTCCAATATTGCTTCCCTTACCCACCCACCTCTGCCAACAGACTCAGCGTTCCAAGCCCAGTTTCATTTTTCAGTCTTATCCCTACACACTGCCACAAAGCCAATCCTTCTAAAACATTATCAAATCAAATATGAACCTTGTAGACTGTATTTGAATATGCTTAAAAAAAACATGTGACTCACCAGTTTAAAATCCCAATATACATGCAGTCTGTTTTGGGCTGCCTTGGAACATGGCTCTAAAGTGGGCTTCTCCCCATTGCCAGGGTCTGTCAGGCAGTGATCATCAGTGTGTGCCTCTGCAATCAGTGGTCCCACATAGAACTCCCCAGTTAGGTGATAGTAGACATTCTAAAAGAGAGCAAAGGAGTCTGTCATGGATACAGTCAGTGGGGCAGTCTTTGACCTTATAAAGGGCATGAAGACAGTTCTTGGGTTCCCTAGGCACTCGATCACCATGGAGAACTGAACTTTCCTAGGTAACAATGAGTCACTCCCCTTTCTTTCTCCCCAACACCCAGTTAACTCTAAGAAGAACACCTGGCTTGAGAAGGGGGCACTAGCCTGCCTGCTTCTGTACAAGGGCTCCAACACAATCATGACTTGCCTAGACAAGGGAGATTATCTTTGAAACACACACACACACACACACACACACACACACACATACATCCCTGAACTTCAGAAGCTATCATCATAAGCTCCAGCTATGGACTTGTCAAGAAACCTTTCCAGTTCTTAATCTGATACTGTCTTGCTTGGTGAGCATGGACAAGTGGGTTGTTTTTGTGCCTCAGGGTTTTCATTTGTCAGGTGGAAATGCTTATCTATCCTACATACCACCAAACGTTCCCTGTGAGGGCAACATGCAAAGTAACAAGATAGAAATGAATATTCTCAAGGGGAAAAGTTCCTGGACTGCATCACCAGTTCGATTCTTCTATTCAATGGAGCAACTTCCATTCACCCTCTCTCTTCTCTAGCCCCTATTTCCTTCTCCCCAGAAGAAGCCACAGGTAGCATCACCTGCCTACCTTTCAGGGCATACCTGGAGTGGTGAGAGGATGGTGGAGACAGTGAGGGGAAGGGGAAAAATGGGGTAGCTGTCAATGAAAATAATGAAAATAATACCATTATTATTGGTATTATTGGTATCATTACTATTGGTATTACCTGAGGTTACTGTCAATGAAAATAACACCATTGTGAATGAATGTCACATGGCATGCTTTCTACCTATCCTCCCTGTACCTGAAGTGGAAATGTCTAGCTCTGATCTCTTGAATGGACTTGGAAGTGCTTAGTTAAAAGGACAGGTTTGGATTTCACCCTTACCCATTGCTCAGGATGCTCTGATCCTGCCTTCCCGTCATCTAACACTTAGTCTGAATCTGACAAGGGTTGCCAGGAGCTGAGCCACAACAGACTCACCCTGGGGCAGGGGAGATTGTGGAAGATACCTGCAGACTGTATTCGTGACAGTAATACATGACAGGGGTTTTGCTTGAGACAAGTCCCTGACCCAGGCAGATATTTTCATCCAACGTGTTTTTCATCTGAAGGGGCAAAACACACAGAAACACCATTGGAAAGAGACAGAGAAACAGTGCCCTCAAGTCTCCCCAGGTCATGCATTTTCCCCTCTACTCCAAGGGTGCCAGAAATTACCAACCAAAAGGAAGCAAGGGTTTGGGATCTTGGGAGCCATTTTCTTTGCACTAGACAAATGGTCCTGCTGTGATGCTCCTTCCTAGGAACACCCACCCATCAGACAGTCACAGTGCATATAGAGAAGGGGGCCAGACCAGATATCCTGGTTGGCTGAGAAATCAAGAGGTTTCAAAAGTAAGGAACCAGAAGCAGAGTCAAGAAAAAGAAATGGGGGGGCACCTGGGTGGCTCAGTGGGTTAAGGCCTCTGCCTTCGGCTCGGGTCATGATCTCAGGGTCCTGGGATCGAGCCCCACATTGGGCTCTCTGCTCAGTGGGGAGCCTGCTTCCCTTCCTTTCTCTCTGCCTGCCTCTCTGTCTACTTGTGATCTCTATCAAATAAATAAATTAAAAAAAAAAAAAGAAATGGGTTCTGGGGAGCAAGAGATAAAAGGACACTGAGAGGGCCCAAGGGCAAAAACCTGAGAAAGGAGTTAAGGGATAGAAAGATAATCCTGAGCAGGACGGATTTTGGAAATGCTTTTCTGAGCTATCATGTAACTCAGGTCCCATTGTCTTTTATAGTCAAATATTTAAAATCTGAGATGCAATTTCATGATACATACTCTTCCATAGCCCACAATGTTGTGAATTGGCTTCAGGTTTGGATAAACATTTTTCAGATACCAGTCAAAAGTTTTACATTTCAGTTTCTTCCGGAGTGCCATTCTGGAAGAAATGTCTCCAAAATTGATTCCAGAGTTCTATAAATAAAACATGGAATATTTCTAGGCCTTGTAACATCCTTGACTCCACCAAAGGGTATGAATGACGCATGAGGGAATGAAACATTTTCCTGATAGTCTGGAAGGTAACCTTGATAATTATAGTTTTTCAGGGAAGGTGGGAAGACCTTGAACCCTAGTAATCTCTGCTGGCTTCAAAGGCACTTGCAAGGCCTGGATAGTACGGCTACTTGGGTTTATTTCCCTCCATGAGTGAGTTAATGGAGACTGTTCCCATTTGAGATAATATTTACATCAGTAAGACACAAAATATTCCTCATGATAACCAGAAAAGACTTCCAAAAGGAATATTCTGGTAGCAAGATTTAAAGGTTGAAGGAGATTTTCTACACGTGTTATCTGTGGGGATAAATTGATTATTATAACAAGATAACTTGTTATCTGTGGGGAATGCTTGAGCTCAGAGCTGTGCTCAAGGGCAGAAGACAGCGTACCATGCCAACCTCAGGAGGCTAGCCTTAGCCAAGAAGGCCATCCTCATTTGTGTGCATCCAGCAGTGGTACAGTCCCTACTCCCACCATCCCATATCCCACCTGCCATGTCCCATGAAATCCTGTTGTCCAGCCCTACTCCACAAGGATTCTCTCAGTATAGATGATGCATGAAGAACACAGACTCTAGAAGATTCCTTGGTTTGAATCATATTTCTGCTCCTTATTACTTTATCACCTTAAACAAATTCCTTTCAACTCTCTGTGCCTCAGTTTCTCCATCGGTAAACATGGAAGAATAAAAGCAAACCCTACCTCATAGATATGTCTCAATGATTAATGGCTGCCTGGAGCATAGCATTACTGCATTAATGTTAGGTGCCATTATCATTGCACCAGGAGGACTTTATGCTAATTTTTTAGAGCAGGGATGGCACTTTCACTTTATCTCTCCCATTTCCTACTCTTACCACCCCCCTCCTCCTTCATTCTTCCCTGCTTCTGTTCAATTCCATGACAAACCTGTAGAGGGATGTTCCAGGCCAAATAGACCATGTGTTTGTATTCATCCATCCAGATTTCAGCCACTCGCACAGCATTACGCTTCAAGGCAAGACTCAGATCCAAGGCATAGGGCTTGTGGTGTCTCTCTAGGTGAGCAATCCTGGAGCAGGGTAAGATCTCAATTCTCCCTCCACACTGCCACACCTGTAAAAGAAGAAAAGAAAGTCACCTGGGAAGGCTAGGCCCATGACCAAGAAGCATCATAGCTTACGGACTCACGGAGGCCATATTTTGGAATCATTTTTAAAGAATGTAAATTCAGTCCTCTCACTCCCATTTCAATGTGGCTTCTCAACCTACCTGCCTACCTAAGACAACCTTTATTAGAAGTCTACTAAAATGCTTCTCTCCCATAGTTCACATAGCTCCCCAAATCCTATGTCTTTCAGGAAATCTTCTGAACAGACCAAGTAATGGTTGCCTCTGTTCTAATATCCTTAAGAAAGTATGGAAGTCCTAAGAGGCACCACACACTGAGCCAGTCTCACTAGACTTCATCTCCCAAGATCCCCTCTGTCCTGTGTGCCAGATATAAAGCAATGTGGCAGATAGACTCTCGGGGCTCCCATGATCCTTGCCTCCTGGTGTTCACTCCCCTCTCTAACCTCCTCCCTTTGAGTATGGGCTTGTGATCTCCTTCTGGCCAATCGAATATGTCAAAGGATGCACACGATTGCATGTGTGTGATTACACTACATAAGACTGAAGTGTCAGGGCACCTGGGTGGCTCTGTGGGTTAAAGCCTCTGCCTTCGGCTCAGGTCATGATCCCAGGGTCCTGGGATTGAGCCCTGCATCGGGCTCTCTGCTCAGCGGTGAGCCTGCTTCCCTTCTTCTCTCTCTGCCTGCCTCTTGTGATCTCTGTCTGTCAAACAAATGAATAAAATCTTTAAAAAAGACTGCAGTGTCATTCTGGTTAGAGACATGCTATCATGTTGGTTTGGAAGAAGCAAGCCACCATGTTGTGAACCACCATGATGAAGAGGCCACAGGGCAAGAAACTAAGGTTGGCTTCCAATTGATAGACAGCAAAGAACTGAATGTTTTTTCAGTCTAGAAGGCTTCAAGGAACTGAGCGTTGCCAACAATCCCATGAGTTTGCAATCAGGTCTTTCCCCAGTCAATCCTAAATGAGAAACTAGCCATGGCCAACACCTTGACTGCACTTTTGTAGACGACCCTGCTAAGCCATGCATGGACACTTAATCCACAGAAACTGTGAGATGGTAAGTGCACCTTGCCTTGAATCACCGACTTTGTGATAATCCTGCTACACAGCAATAGATAACTAATATGAGTAATTCTTGACTAAAAGATATCATGACTTATGATAAAATGATATAACTATAAATACTCTTCTTTGCCATCCTGACAGGTACGAACTTACTTTTCAGGCCACACATTCTAATATTTGGCTTAAAAATATGATCTTCACCCAGATAGATGGTAGAATGGTCCATTGGAATTAGATTGACATAATGGCTCCAGTGTCTTCTCTTCATGGTTTCCCAAGAAGCGTGCGGTTTTGGGGAATTAATTGGCCTATTTGACAGTGGTTAGAAACCTACTACCTTCATGCCCAAGGAAGCCTTTGAGATAAGAGTGAGCAACTTAGGTCGTGCTGGTTCAGTTAACCACCTGAAGTGTCAGTCCCCTTACCTGACTTTCAAAATTTTTTCATCCCTTCTTCTACTTCTGAACCCACAGAGTCTCCTCCCTCATTCCCCAAAACCCAGAATAGCACAATGACAAAAAGTCAGGTTTTGAAGCCAGACTGACCTGTGTTCAAATCCTGATTCTATCTCTGAATACCTGACAGCTAGGGGCAAAACACTCCCCATCCTGAGTCTCAGGTAGCTTATCCACAAAAAGGCATAAAACTATCAGGAGCATGAAATGGCATAACAAGTATTCATAAATGTCTATGATTTTTAACTTGAAACAGCTCTTTTCTTCCATTATCCTCCTGAGTTTCTCTTCATTAGTTTCCAAAATCATGTGGAGGTTACAACTGATTTTTTTTCAGATTTTATTTTCTGAAGCCAAACATCTAAAATTTCAAATACAAATTCCTTCCAATTTCTTTAGTTGCTGGTTGTTTCCAATCCACAGGAATTCAGAAGAGAAAAAAAAATGGCACAAAAAATCTTAAATTCAAGTGAAAAGATAAGTCATGATTGCCATTTATGAAGTAAGGTTAACTATTATCCTTAACAAAAAGTTTTCAAATTTTACTCTTTCAATTTATTCCCACTTGCTAAACATTGTGTGTGTGTGTGTGTGTGTGTGTGTGTGTGTGTGTCTAACACAAAGAGGGACGTGAAGCTTCTCTTTATAATAACAATGACTTGCTCTGTGGCAAATGTTACCCTAATTTTTTCATGAATTTAATCCTTACCACATAGGTATTATTATTATCCTCATTTAAGTAAGTTGCCCACATTTATCAGCAAGTAAATGACAAAGCTGGATTCTGAGTCCAGGTAGTGAGCCTGTTAAGCTCCAACAAGGAGTCAGAAATACACAAGGTGCCCAATAAATGCTGGTTTTTCTTTCTTGAGCATCAGCCCCAACAGTCCATCTCCATTTATACAGTCCCATGTGCACTATCACTGCCATGCCTCTAGATGTCAGAATAAAACACCCCATGCAGTTCTACTATTCCCCATGATCTGTCATTGGAGAAATGGAGATCTTAACACGTGCTGAGAGGTTTTAAAAGGCAAATAGTCACACACACAAACTAAGGAAACTAGATATGGGTAGAACTGTTTTATCCAAGAAAAATAAAAGAATGGCCTTTCCCTGACACTTCCTACATCTCCAGCAAAATCTATGAAAAAAAGCACAGAATGTTAAAAGAAAGAGGATTTCTTGTGGAAACTAAAATATTGGAGTTCAATATAGAGTAAGGGAATGGAAATAGGCGGCAGCAGAAGAAAGAGGGGAAAAAAAAAAAAAACCATGGGGAACTCAGAATGGTAAGAAGGGCTTGGGACCCTAACTTGGGGAATTGGAGTTCCAAATTCATGGAAGCAGTGGTAGGTAAGAAAACCTCAGCCATAATGTAGCTAGGGTCATCCTAGGACTTTGCTAATAAGTACCATGCATAAAATAATTATTTCTGCATTTATATTTTTGTGCTAGAGACTAACTGTATACTCAATACCTATTCCTTTCTACATTTATTGTTGTAGAAGAAATAACTGCACACATAAGCAACTAGCTGAAATCTACATTTCCCACACTCTTTTGTTCCCCAATGGCCATATGACCAGCAGTGGCCAGTGGGATTTGAGGGAAATAACATATACAACTTTCAAGTAGTGGCCTTAAAAAGAAAGCATGCTCTGTCTCCGCTCCCCCCGCCTTCCTCATTCTAATGAGTAGAGTACAGGTGTGGTGTGGAGTATAGCAGAACCACAAGATGGAAGAGTCTTGGTCCCCATCACCCTGAAGATGCCATCTCAATCCTGAACCGCTCATGTCCAAACTGTTGTGGAAAAAAGAAATCAATTTCTATCTTTTTTAAACCTGTTATTTCAGCCTTTCTCACAAAAGCCAAACAAGAATTCTAATTAATGTCTTCATAAATCATTTTAAAATATTGGGAGATGGAGAGGAGAAGTAAGTTGGGGAAAATCAGAGAGGGAGACAAACCATGAGAGACTGTGGACTCAGAAACAAACTAAGGGTTTTGGAGCAGAGTGGGGTGGAGGCTGGGTGAGCCTGGTGGTGGGTATTAAGGAGGGCATGGATTGGAGGGAGCACGGCATGTGGTGCATAAACAATTAATTATGGATCATGAAAAAAATTAATTTAATTTTAAAAATATTTATTACATTTTAACAGTGCCATTATCCTTATGAAGTAGATGAAATAAGGATGCTTCTATTCATTTCATAAAAGGGAAAATTGGTTAGGACAGCCAGGCAGAACAGTAGTTTTCTCTGTCCAACTATTACTGTGGCTTAAGGTATAACCCAGATAAAAGCTCAAACTGTATTGGTTGACACAAAAATGTGAGGTCCTGTTTAGGTCTTAATTGGGTATAATATCTAGTTCTAGGGTCATCAGTTCCAAGTAGAAAGGAACTGAAGGGAGTAGGTCTGAATAAACTTTAGAAAATATCTCATGCTTCCAGATACTGTAATGGACTAGAGATCACCTGGTCTCAGGCATAGAATTTCAGGAATACTATAGAATTTCAGTATTCAAAAGGAATACTATAGGAGGGATATTTTAAGCATGAGATCTAGAAGATGCTTAGAAAATGCTTGGAATGCTTATTCCCCTTAAGGTAAATAAGAATACCATCTGCTGAGTCTCAGTTCTATGTCTTTCCATCCATATCTCCCAGATTATATAAACCTCTACCAGAAAACTCCACTCCAGAAGTTTTACTGCCTATTTCTAGTGACTCGGAAGCATGAGAGTTTATCTATCTCTTGAGCCAATGACATTCAGCCTTCTTCCAGAATTCCAAAGACCATCCAACTCTCCAATTATTTTCCCCTCTGCTTTTTCTCATAATGAGAAGGAAATGTACCCACCCTCAAGCCGAGTTCCACATTCTCTCCTCCATAGACCAGCATCCCACCATCCAGAGATCCAATCTCTTCCAGAAAGATCCTGTCGGCAGCCAGGATGCCCATGATGGAAGGACTCCTATAGAACACACAGTAAGAGAGTTACTAACCTCTTGATGAGGAATGGGTCAAGATAGCGGTGAGCGATAGGAAGCCAATGATGATCTGGCTTCCAAAGGTCTACTCAAGCCCCTTCTTATCCTGAAGGCTTTTCCTAAACCCTCAGGCTGAACTAAGTACATGTAGCCTTCCTTCACCCTCATGCTGCCATAGCCCTTCCTGAATTATAATGAAATTAAACCTTTTTCATCTACATATCCCTAATTCATATCCTGATAAATGCTTAAAATGCCTCAAATGTTTTTTTAAAACAGTATATACTTTGCTTTTTGTTTGAAAGCCCTTAGTCTGAAATGCCTTTATTTTTTTTCTCTATCCTCTTTTACCCCATCTCCTCCATTTCTCCCACTCACTCCCAGCATTACCATAAAAGATAAACAAAACCCACACCATCCATTCCTGATTTCCCACGTTCTAATCAAGTTCCCTAAACCTCAGACTTACTTTACTGGAGCAGTGGCATCATGCAGATCAAACCAGGCCTTTGGCAGTGGATCATAGCGGCACCATAGTTCCCAGTTAAACCCATCAACTGCCAATGCATACTTTTCCAGTTCAAAGGTATCAAAATGAATATTATCAAACACAGGAGACACAATCACAGTGTGGTCTTCCTGAATCCGAGCCAAAATGGGCTCTGCCCTAGAAGAAGAGTGTGTAACAAATCCAGGTTGGATATGAAAGGAAGTAGAAGAAGCAAGCAAACAAAACTTCTTCAAGCACCTTGCCCTGACATTGAGCACCGTTTTCACTTATGCTGTGCTGGGCTGTGAGTAGGATACTCCACAGTGCAGAGAACCTTTGCAGTTTTCAGGATACTTGAAGCTGCTAGCAGCGGACGTATGTCAATAACAGATTTGGAATTGGTACCCAAATATCACTCTCAAGTCATTATGAACAAGACTATTGGCATTCTGCCTAAATTTACATTAACTCTTTGGATCTCCCTGTTTCCAAAATGATGTCTATTTACTATTTGATTCTCCAAAGAACACAACTTTCTCTGTATCATGTAATTTCAGGACTGAGAAAAACCTTAGGAATTATCAAAAGATAATTTCTTCAATTTTATAGTTAAGGACATAAAAGTCTAGTTAGGTGTGACTTATTTAGTCACAAAGTTATTTGGCAAAGTCAGCACTCCAAGTTTGTCAACTCCAAGGTTATCAACACTCCAAGCCCACAGTTATTTTCTTTTTTTTCTTTTTTTTTTTCTTCCATAACACTAAAACACTTCCTTAGTCAACCAAATTCCCTGAGTAAAAACACCCTGTCTTTGGATATTTTCTTTGTTTGAGGTCTGGTGTTATCTTTCCCTATTTCCATAATACCCTGTCTTTTATGTAGTACATTTTCAATATCTCCCTTCTCCCCTTTCTTAGGAGAAGAAATCTCCTGGAGCCTTACCACCCAACGTTCACTTCAACATGAGCATCCAAGATGGCAATCACATCAGCTGTGGCCACTTTCCTGCCAGTGTTGCGTGCTTGAGCAAGACCCTCTCTCTTCGTATGTCGAATTATTTTTAGTAGTCCTGGGTACTTCCAGTTGTAAAGCTTAATCTTCTCATCCAAGCGTGTCTTTAGTTCTCCTGCCAACCAAATGCACACCTATAGACATTCTGAGTGCAATAATCAATGTGTTGTCAAAATTTCACACTATCATGTAGTAGTGGTTGAACTACCTCCAGTTAAGGATGAGCAATTTACCATCTTGGGTGAGAAATAAGTAGTGTTCCCCCTGCACCTACTTCTCTCCATTCTATCCTCAGGCTTAATGCTCCATTCCTAATCTCCTTTCCCTGGAAGTTAAACTACCTTAGAATAATCATACTGCTTACTGTGTAACAAGGATTGTTATTTATGCTTTATGTGTGTTGAGAATTCTCACAGGTCTACCTACCTGACCTAACTAAGGTAGAGGTGCTGGTGAACAGACATTGTGGAGACCGCCTGGAATGTCTTTCCCATGGCTAAACTCTCAAGATTTTCTGAAGAAGACACAAACAACTGAAACTGTTTTGTCTTGTTTTACATATTTCTATTCAAGGACCAGTTTTGGACAGAACACCCAAGCTAATCGCTTTTCTAGCTTCTAGCTATGAATTTATCCCCAAATTGTGCAAACAGGATTCACTATTCCCAGATCGTTGCCATTTTTTTCTTCCCTCTTTCCCCTCTCTTTTATAAAGTCTGTCTATAAATTTGTTCTTTGACTCAGCCTACCAGTTGACTTCCTCATATGTATGAGAACAACTTGCATGCAAATCACTAAGCAGTGTTTAAAATATCTAACCGAGAGACTGAGTTTTCCATTGATAACATTAATTTATTTTAATTTCAAATTATCTTATAAGGTAGGTATTTCAGTATCCTCACTTTACAGACAAAAAAACTGAAGCACAGAGAGATTAAGAAACTTGTCCAAGTTACACATCTAATAAGTGGCACACCCTGGATGTGAGCTCACGTTGTGTCTAACCACCAAGCCATGCTGCCTCAAGAAGTATGTGTGTACCTAGTTGGGTTTATCATGATCTCCCCCTATTCCTCTCTTTCCAGGGTCCAGAGATGAGATTCTTGCCGGTTTCTCCCTCAGAAGAAAAGTAGATTTATGAGTGCTGAAGTGATCAAGATCTGGAAGCAATACCTACATGACCATGGCACAAAAATTTGCCCTATGTTAGAAGTTTCCCAGATGCACTCCAGGAAAACTAACTCAATAATTGGAAATGTAAAGAGAGTCAGTGGATCTGAAGGCTGTTTGCTCCAACTGTGAGAAACTAAGCTGGAAAGTCCCTACACTCAACTAGTCACTACTTTCAGGAAGTACTACTCACAGAAAGTGACTACTTGCAGTCAGAAGGGGTTGCCATATTTTTTTCTTCTCCTGACACCACTGTGCCCCTGAAAGGTTTATGGCAAATTGAGAGAGGGAGGAGCAGGTTCTGAAGTTCACCCTTGATGGCACCCACCCATAGAAGATGGAATCATGGATTCTACCTATATATATATTTTTTTCCTTTTTTTTTTTTTTTTAGCAATTTCTTCAAAAAAAAATCAAGGTGAATGGAAAACCTGAAAATCCTGGTGGAGGTGTTATAATCATTGAAAGGAGCAAGAACAGGATTACCATAACTTCTGAGGTAGGTACCTTGTGCTAAAAGGCATTTTAAAAATCTCACCAAAAAATATAAAGAATAATCTGTGTGGTTGGTCGTACATAGTTGTTAAGAGCATTATTAGGAACTACAGTATCTAATTCTGTCTAATTACTATCTAATTCTGTCACTTCTCATTTGGGTATCTCTGTTTCCTCAACTTAGAAGGAAGGCTGGATAATATGTCAGGATCCTTCCAATTCCAAAATTTTATGACTTATAGATTCTGATTTATCCTCTCAGAAATAATGACTACAGTCCAGCACAAGAATTAAAGACCCTTCAGTGGATCTTCTAAAATAAGCTTGTGCTCCCTTCTCAGCCTTGCTCTCCCACTGGTCCTCTTTGCCCCCAAATTCTTCATTCCAGGATGCTCAGCTCAGGCTGCTTCTGGCTTTGGCAGATTTGCTCGTATCATTCTTTCCATCACTCTCTATCTCCCACACCCACCACACACCCAATCTTCCACTGTTTTTTTTTTTTTTTCTAAATCCTACCAAATTTTCAAGTCCCAATCCAAGTCCTCCTCCTCCAGGAAGGCTCTCTAGCTCATCCCAGCCATTTCTCCAGGCTTTCTTGCACTCAGTGACAGCTCACTCAATTTGACACACCATTCTTCGTATATTGAAATATCTTTCCATAGGTATGTCTTGCCTCATAAATTAATACGGGAATTTCTTGAAGTCACTGATATTGTCTTCCCTGCATAGTGCCTTTTTTTGGTGCAAACTCAATAAATAGTTGTTAGTTATAAAATTTGCCTAAAATTGGAGAGAAAATAGATAATTCCATTTATATTAGTACAAATTCTGAAAAAGTTGGATTAGCTCTGTTGACAGTTGAAATATTTGACCTGATAAAAGTGAAGCTTCATACCTAGGGGGAAAAAGAAGGGGACATAACCAAGTTATGGCATTTCAACATACTACAAATGATTTTAAGGTAAATAGGGAGTAATAACTCTACTTAACATTTATTGGGAGCAATTCCTATGTTGAGGACTTTACATGTCTTATTTAATCTTCAAAATTGTGCTATCAGGTAAACACTATTATTTCCACTGTATTATAGATGAGGAACTGGAGACATAAAGTAGTTGAGTTTCTTGCTCCACAAAGTCAAATGAACAGTAAGTTTCTCTTGTGGCCTATGTGGTAGACTTCCATTTATTTTCTTCAATTTAACACAAAACAGATTCTTAAGTTCTGTTCTGTATAGAACCAATCTAGTTGATATTTTCATGGTTAATGAGAGAGAAGCTAATTCCTGTCCCAGGGACATCGGTCAAAGAATGACTAACAGTCCCCTCTTCTGTGCCCATTTACACATTATCTCTATGAAAAGCATAATGGGTTCTTGACCAAAGTGAGAGAGATGTGTTATATGATAGGGGAATAGTTTGGAACGATCCAGAGTTTTGCTTGACTTCTCTTTATGTGTCTACCCAATGCAGACAAAAGGTAATCTTGTACCTTTTGATTTCATTGTTCCACAGGTAGAAATCTTGAAATAATTCTTATCTACTCTTTATGAAATGTGGAATTAAAGAGCCACTGATTTTTTTCCCACAGGAAATGATATCTTCAGGGGTCCCTCAGCTCAGCTCTTACATTTTTCCCATAAAGAAGCTGAGTCTCAGACAGGTGAGATAATTTGCCTCAAATCATCTCACAGAGACAGGAAGTGGTGCCAAGGTGTGTTCAAATGTCTAGGACAGAAGTCTTTCTAATCAAGTTCTCATTTCTTACTGAAAAACCAGGTGTGTCTGCCCAGAAAGGAATGAACTCAGCCATTTTCTTTTCTTCGGTTTTCAATGGAATTCAGCTTAGGAACTGTACCTTCATAATTATTTTTTGTGCATTTATATTGAAACGACAAGAAAGGAAGGTATTTAAAACATTAAAGGAATATTTTTAGTGTCTGGAAATCCAAAAAGGAAAGTTTAGAGGCCATTTGCCTCTTCTTCTTGGGTCAAACTGCCCCTAATTTGAATCTGCAATAAGTACCTGTCTGGTACTTAAAGATCCCCCAGAGAAGGAAAACATTCTGCCTCCCATGATCAGCCACTCCACAGTCCTTAATCTCAGAAATTTCTTCCTTATTCCTAGCCCAAATCTCTGTGACTTTTTTCTAGTTTCTTCAAAATTTAAAAAACTAAGAGCTAACACTGGCTGAGAGGTTACTATGTGCTAAGTGCTATTCATAACCTACATATTATATTAGTGAACATAGTGGCTAGAGATAGGGCTCTGGAATCTGCAAATCTCAATTTTTTCTCCTACCAGCACTGCGGTATTTAGCAAATTCCTTAGCCAGACTATGCCTTAGGTTTTTGCATCTGTAAAATGGACAAGACAATGGTTCTTCCCCATAGGTTATTATAATGATTAAAACAGTTAACACACATAAGGTGCTTGGAACAATGTCAGCTGCCATGGTTATCTCATGTAACTCTCCTTACAGTTTATGAGATAGTTATTATTACCAACATTCATGTTTTACAGATAAGGAAACCGGAACATGGAGAAGTTGAGATACCCATGGACATGGAGCTTATAAAGGAAGAACTGGGATTCTAAAATCCCAGAAAATAAGGACTCAGGTCCACAATCTCCCACTTCTCCCTGTCCCCCCTGGTAAACTAGACAGAGGTGGGGAGGGGGCATGCTGTGAGCAAGAAACGTGGCCACTATGAAGAGTCTCCACATCCAGAGCTCCATTTTCTCTGGATTTAATTACCCAGGAAGATTGCTTTTCCTCATAGGGAACAGTTCTGACTCCCTTCTTGGTATCTGATGTCTAATTTTGGACCCCACTTCACTGCCTCAGGTCTCCATCATGGTGCATAGAAAGGCTTTGGAGCCACTCAGTCCTGGACCTCACTCAGCTCCATCATTAACTTGCGATGCAATTTGGTCACATTACGTGGTCTAACTCTCTGTGTCTTAGTTTCCCCATCTGTGTAATCAAGATGATGACCTTCTGCTTTGACTTTGTGAAGATTATTGTGTCCAGCACATAGGGCCTCAATAAATGATCCCTTTCTCTTCACTATAGAAGGAGCTCAAAGTGTCCTAAACTCTAAGAGAAAACACTTTCCCAGCCCAACACAGTCAACAAACTATTATTCTTTGATCAAGTTGCTCACCATTTGAGCTAAAATCATCCACCAAGATGATCTCCTTTAACAACTGAGAGGGGGTGCGGTTGATGACACTAGTGATGGCACGTTGTATAATGGACAGAGCTTCATTCATGAATATGAGAATGACACCAAGGGATGGGAGTTGTGAAGGGTACGTCTTCTGAAGACACCTACAAGAAAACAATTTTAAATAACTATATTACTTTTTAAAAATTATGTAAGGGGCATCTAGGTGGCTCAGTTGATAGGGCATCTACCTTCGGCTTGGGTCATGGTCCTAGGGTCCTGGGATCAAGCCCCGCATCAGGCTCCCTGCTCAGTGGGGAGTCTGCTTCTCCCTCTCCCTCTGCTTCTGCCTCCTGCTCGTGCTCGCTCTCTCTCTCTCAATTTGCTCTCTCAAATAAATAAAATCTTAAAAAAATTTTTTAAAAATTATGTAAACATTACTATCCAATCTACCCCTTCACTATATATGATAATTTAATATATCCATCAGCTCACCAACCTCAAACTCTTTAGGAAGGGAAACTCTCAGGTGATTGCCAAAGTAGCAAGATTTTATATCTATTTAACCAAAATTTTCCTGTTATGAGGATAAATCATATTAATTCATATTAATTCACATTTGAATTAATATGAAGATTATTCATATTAATCTTCAGTGGATGGATCCACCCTACCATCTAACATTCCCCTAAAAGGAATCCCTATTCCTCTCCCATCTCTAAATTTTCTTTTTTGCTAGGGGCTTCTGTCATCGCCACCACCTTTTCCCCATGTTCTCAGACTGTCAGTCATTTCTGACACAAACCTCTACTTCACTACTACAGAGAAGTGCAGAACTGTTCAAAGAATTATGCTTGACCATTTTTTTAATTTCATAGTTTACCTTATTAAATGCTTAACACATGCCAGATACTAGCTTACTCTTTACTTTTAACATCTTTATTGAGATATACTTCATGTATGATAAAAATTCACCTATTTAAAAATAAACAAGTGTTTTTATAACATTCACAGTGTTGAGCAACCATTACCACTGTCAAATTTTAGAACATTTTCATCACACTAAAAAGAAACTCCATACCCATTACCAGTCACTGTCCATTTCTCCCCACCCCATTCCACCCCCACTCCCTTCAGCCAAAGGCAACCACTAATCTACTTTCTATCTCTATAGAATTGTCTATTCTGGCTTTTCATATAAATGGAAATATAATATGTTGTTTTTTATGACTAGCTTCTTTCACTTAGCATAATGTTTTCAAGGTTCATCCACATTGTGGCATGCATCAGACCTTCATCCTTTTTTATTGTCAAATAATATTCCATTGCAACACCACATGTTTATCCATTCATCAGCTGTTGGACACTTAAAATGTTTTCCATTTTTTGGCTGTTGTTAATGCCACTGTGAACATTCTTGAACAAGTTTTGTGTTGGCATATGTTTTCATTTCATTTATATATACACCTAAGTGTACAATTGCTAAGTCAAAGGACAACTCTGTTTAACAATTTGATGAACTGCTATAGTGTTTTCCAAAGTAGCTGTACCATTTTACATTACCACTAGTAATGAATGAGGGTCCTAATTTCTCTACAACCTGGACAACACTTGTCATTATTTGTCATTGTGCTGATAGTCATCCCAGTGGGTATGAAGTATTACCTCCCTGTGACTTTGATTTCCATTTCCCCAATAAGTAATGATGTTAAGCACCTTTTATTTTTCTTTTTTCTATTAATTTATTTATTTAAGTTCAATTAGTTAATATACAGTTAATATATCATTAGTTTCAGGTGTGCTTTTTGGCCATGTGTGTATCTTTTTTGGAGCAATGTATGTCTTTAGTTTATTTTTAATTTGGTTGTCTTTTAATTATTGAGTTTTAAGAGTTACTAATGTATCCTAGATTCAAGTACTTTATCAGATGTATGGTTTACAAACATTTTCTCCTAGCCTGTGAGCTGTTTTTAACCTTCTTGATGATATTATTTGCAGCAAAAATTTTTCAGTTTTGATGAAGTCTAATTTTTCAGTTACTTATGCTTTTGGTGCCGTATCTAAAAACCATTGGCTAACCCATGATCTCTGAGATTTACTCTTGTGTTTTCTCTTACGAGCTTTAGTTTTATTTACATCTATGATCATTTGAGTTGATATTTATGTATGGTATGATATAAGAGCCTAGTTTCATCGGTTAGCATATAACTAAACAGTTGTCTCAGTGCCATCTGTTGATAATTCTTGCCCTCAATCTGCTGTCTTAGCACCTGTAAAGAGGAAAAACTCTCCTGTGTATCTCTTTCTCTCTACTCACAGCACTACTCATAATGAAAACCTTGATGACCAGATAGTGCATTTTTTTTCCTCCACATCAAATAATTCTGTGACACCAGTTGGGTGTCCTATATTTTAGCTGAATTCTGATACTACCTACCTGAAGTTAATGTCAGATCACACAGGTTAAGAGTTCACACACACAAGACTTCCCCCCACTCCACACACACACACACCACTCTGGATGCCAATCACAAGTTCAGGTTGTTATCAGTGCTTCTGACCCACTAGCTATAGATCAGAAGTTTCCAAGACCCCTCCTTGGGTTAATTTGCTAGAAGAGCTCACAGAACTCAGGGAAACAGTTTACTTACTAGATTACCAGTTTATTAAGAATACTAAAACATATGAATGAATTGCCATGTGGAGAGATATACAGAATAAGGTTCCAAAAGGTCCAGAGCACAGGATCTTCTGTCCCAAGTGGAGTTTTGGGGTGCAGCACACCCCTGGCATGCTTCATGCTTCAAAAGACATAATTAATAAGATCATTGCCTGTTAGTGGTCAAGTCTATCTCCATCCCCACTCCCCTGTCAGAAGATATAGAGGAGCTGAATATCCCAACCTTATAATTATAGAGTTCATTACTCTGGTAACCAGCTTACATCCTTAGAGGGTTTCCAAGAGTCAACTCATTAACTCAGGGCTGAAAGGAGCTTGTTGAAGATACCAAAAGACACTTTCATCTCTCTTCTAATTTAGGAAATTACGAGGATTTTAGATACTCCATGTCAGGAACAGGGGTGAAGACCAAATACATATTTCTTAGTATAAGTCACAATATAATGACACCCTTGTCAAGAATCAATTGACCATAAAAGTAAGAGCTTATTTCTGGCTGTCGATTCTATTCCACAGATTTATATATCTATCCTTAACCAGTTAAAACGTGTCTTGATGATTACAGTTTTGTAGTAAGTTTTGAAATAGAGAAAATCTGAGTCCTGTAACTTTATTCTTCTTTTCTCTATTCTCGATTCTTTTTCAAGGTGTTTTGGCTATTGAGCTCATTTATGTTTTCATTTTAATTTTGGGATCAACTTGTCAATTTCTACCCAAAATTCAGTTGTAGGTCAAACTGGAGACTATGGTTATTTTAACACATTAAATGTTCCAACAATGAATATGGGATGTTTTCCATTTATTTAAATCTTTAATTTCTTAACTCATGTCTTGTAGTTGTCCATCTACAGGCTTTCACTTCATTGTTAAATTTATTCCCAAGTATTTTTGAGGCTAAATGACATTGTTTTCTTAATTTCATTTTTGAATTGTTAATTACAAATCTGTAGAAACATGATTAAATTTTGTGTATTGATCTTGTATCTTGCAACTCTGCTGTATTCATTTACTGGTTCTAATGGTTTTTAATGGATTTTTATGATTTTCTATATAAAAGATCATGCCACCTGTGCATAGAAAGAGTTTTACTTTTTCCATCCTAAAATGGATGCCTTTATTTCTTTTTCTTGCCTGACTAAAATATTGAATACAAGTATTGTCATACAACATACTTATTTAGTTTCATCATATGGGGAAAGCTTTCCATCTTTCACCATTAGAATGATATGGGCTTTTTGTAGGTGCCCTTTGCTAGGTTGAGGAAGTTCCCATCTAGTCCTTGCTTGTTGAGTGTTTTTAATCATGAAAGGGTTGGATTTTGTCAGGTACTTTTTTCTGTGTCTCTTGAGATGATAGTGTGGCTTTTGTCTTTTATTCTATTAAGATGATGTATTATATTGATTTTCAGAGTTTGAATCAACTTTATATTGTTGGCTTAAATCCCAGCTTGATTGTGGTGTGTAATCCCATTTCTATTCTGTTATATTCAGTTTGCTCATGTTTTGCTGAGGATTTTGACATCTATAGTCATAAGGGATGCTGCTCTGCAGTTTTCTTTTCTTGCAAGGTATTTTTCTGGCTTTGGTATCAGGGTAAAGCTGACCTCATATAATGAGTTGTGGAGTGTCCCCTTCTCTTCTATTGTTAGGAAGAGTTTAAGAAGAGTTGAAGCTAATTCATGTTTAAACTTGGTAGAATTCACCAGTGAAGCTATCTGGACCTGAGTAGTATTACAGTTACTAATTCAATCTCCTGTGAGAACTCTACTCAGATTTTCTAGTTCCCTTCTGCCAGTTTTGGTAGTGTTTGTAAGAATTTGTACACTTCTTCTAGATTATCTAGTTTGTTGGGAGAGAGTTGTTATAGTACTCCTTAATAGTCTTTTATTTCTATAAGGCCAATAGTGCTGAACTTCTTCCAATCATGATTTTTGTCTTTTCTGTTTTTTTCTTGGTCAGTCTAGCTAAAGTTTTATTAATTTTGTTACTCCTTTAAAACACAACTCTGTTAGCTTTCTCTAGTTTTTCTTTTTTTTTCCAAAGATTTTATTTATTTATTTGACAGACAGAGATCACAAGTAGGCAGAGGCAGGCAGAGAGAGAGGGGGAAGCAGGCTCCCTGCTGAGCAGAGAGCTCCATGCGGGGCTCAATGCGGGGCTCAGTGTGGGGCTTGATCCCAGGACCCTGAGGTCATGACCTGAGCCAAAGGCAGAGGCTTAACCCTCTGAGCCACCCAGGTGCCCCTGTTTTTCTATTTTTAGTTCATGTGTTTCCACTCCAGAAACTTTAAATGATTCTTTTTATGAATTCCTGTAGCCATCTAGTTATTTCATGGGAGAGAAGAAATGCTACACTTAACATTCTGCCATTCTGAAGGAAAACTCAATCCATATATTTTTTAAATGTAAAGTAATTGCCAACATTTATTTTTTTCTTTCAGTATTTTTTTTAATATTTTAAGTACTTTATTTAATTATTATATTA